TTTTATATTTTAATAGATTCTGCTAAAGGGTTTTTTCCTCTCTGATATGAAAATGACTATTAAGTGACAATTTTCACTTCTTACTGCTCACCTGCCTGTAGTAGCTTTTCTTTCCTTTTTAATTGACTATTTCTACTCTTTTGTGGATGAATCTGGAAACACAGTAATTTTTTACCAGAAAGATGTGTAAATACACCAAATGAGGAATTAGGGAACTCCCCGAGGGAAACTCACCATTTGCTTTCATCCTTTCCCCTTTTTCAATGGAGGAAGCATACCTCCCCATCTTTTCATGCCTTCTCAGTATCTTTTCTGTCAGTCATCCCCTCTTACTCCTGTGTCTTTGTTCTGTCCTATTTTCAATCTTCTTGATCAGTATTTAAACATGCTCAAGTTTTTCCTGTTTTAAATTATCCTGTACTCCACATTCCCTCCTAGTTACTTCCTTACCTCTTCTTTCATTTGTACTTAGATGTCTTTAAAGACTTGTATGTGCTTGCTGGGAGGAAATGAGGGACAAAAAAGCTGTAAGACATAAAACAATTAACAAAATAGCAATCAATAGTAAATCCTTCCCTATCAATAATTATTTTAAATGGATTAAATTCCCCAGTCAAAAGATTGATTGGCAGAGTGGATTTTAAAGATAGGATTTAAAATATTCCATTCACTGCACATCCCACTGTACTTGCTTTTCACTGAACATCCCACTGTAATCTGGCTTCCATCCTCTCTTCTAAAACTGCTTCTCTCATGGTCATCAGTCATCTCTTGACTATAGAGCTATCCCACTCTCCTAGTCTTCTCCTTAATTTTCTAGTATTTCTCAGACTCTTTTGCCATCTTCATATTCAGGCTTCCCACACTGGCTGATCATCAGACTCCCTGGAGGTTTTAAAAAACACTGATTCTGTGGGTGCAGTGGCATGTACCTGTAGTCCCAGCTATAGGAGACTGAGACTGGAGGATTGCTTGAGTCTAGGAGTTCAAGACCAGCCTGGGCAACATAGTGAGATCCTGTTGCAAAATAAAAATAAAACAAAACACTGGTTTTGCACTCTAAACCCAGCCCTTTGAATCTGAATCTCTGAAGGTCGAGGATGCATCTGTGGAATTGACTCAGCTATAATAGGTGTATGTGTACTGTAATACACACATATTAATATAGCCCCCTTTTTTGTACAGTGGGTGCAAACTGTGTATAGTAGTCTGCATTATGCTTCCCTCCCTTCCAACATAACTTGGTGATGTTTACATATTAGTACGTATAGATGACCTCATTTTTTTTCATAGCTGTGTTATATTCTGTTGTTGGATGTAAATAATTTTTAATTGATGTCTGCTAGCTTGTTTCTATTCCTTCACTGTTACAATGAGCCTTCTTTTTTTACACGTGCTTGATGTAAGTAGGATAAATTCCTATAAGTGGAGGGTGGTGTGTGTATGTTTATTTTGGTAGATATTGCCAGGTTGCCATTAAAAACTTACAGAAACAAGTGCTTTTTTGATTCCATCAGATGAATAGATAAGTTCACATAAAATCAAGCAGAAGTTTTGTTAAAGATACAATTTCAAAAATCAATGTTTTCAAGAGGCAGTTTCAGAGCAACTTTCTTCTTGCCAGAGTACATAATTATAATGTGTTTGGTAATGTCAGCTATACAAGGGTAAGGGAACAGACCCCCTTATGTATGTACATTTATGGATAGTTTGAAAAACTATTTCTGTTATTCAACTTGTACCATGTCTTGGGGATAACTAATTTCTTAAAACTTATTATCAAATAAAGAATTACTTTTGTTTATTTGAATCAAAAAAC